GACTGTTAACTGTGGCAAACAAAATGTAGATATTGTGACCTCCCTGATACCGTCCTGCTTTTTACTTGTTGTGGGTCGCCCCTGGCTGCATGCCAGGCACCCATCAAAGCTGCTCTCTCACTCTACTCCCCTTTGCAACAGGACAGGGGAGGGGAAAAAATATGTAATAAAAGGTTCATGAGTTGAGATAAGGATAGGGAAAGATCATTCACCAAACACCGTCACAGGCAAAACAGACTCAACTTGAGGATATTAATTGAATTTATTACAAATCAGAAGCAGAGAAGGATAATGAGAATAAAACAAATCTTAAGCACACCTTCCCTCTGCCCTTCCTCCTTCCTCAGGGTTCTGTCTCCTCCCCCCCTCATGCTCCCTGCCATGGCCCAGGGAGACGGGGAATAGAGGTTATGGTCAGTTCCTGCCACTGCTCAGGGAGAGGAGTCCTTCCCTTGCTCCAGTGTAGGGTTCCCACTGCCTCCCACGGGAAACACAAGTTCTCCACAAACTTCTCCAGTGTGAGTCCTTCCCACAGGCTACAGCTCTTCACGAAATGCTACAGCATGGGGTTCCTCCCACTGGGTGCAGTTCTTCAAGAACAGCCTACTCTAGCATGGATCCCCCACAGGGTCACAAGTCCTAACAAGAAAACTGCTCCAGCGTGGGCTCCTCTTGATCTGACATCTCAGGAGTCACCAAAATGTTAACAATTTTCCCAAAGAGTTACAGGGAATGAGAAGTGGTTATGAAACAGAGTCCTGCCTTGCTCTTGTAAAAGGTGGAATAAGTAATAATTTTCTTAAGAAAGGATGTTTTTTGATTTTTGATCTTTGTATACTTTCAAGCCTCATCAACAACAAAGATTTAATATGTGAAACAGATAGCCAACAAGCAAGCTCTGAGTGATGTCCAGGTGTTAGAAAGGAAAATTACTTATTTGCTTTGCTAAGGCTTAGGGCTTGACATGCTCTAATGATCTTGGACCTAAAGGGAGGTTAAACAAAACTTGGGAAGAAGGGCAAACCACAAAGAATGCATAATTTACAGGCCACAAGGACATCTGGCAGAATATCCAAGATAAGGAAGAAACTAATAAAACCAACTCAGCAACCGTGCTGAATCAGCTCAAACTGAGTAAAAGGTAATTCCAGCAGGGCAAAATCCACAGACCACCAACCCAGGAAACCCACTGACTCAAGAGAAAGACTGAGTATGCAGACGAATTAGCATGAGAAGCAAGAGAACAATTATCCAATAGAAAATAGAATATTAATTAATAAGAAAACTGTGTAATTTATAGTGAATAAACATCAATGCTTTGGTTCGGTAAAATATATAAATAGTAAAAAGTTTTGACAGTTGGTGTGCTTGATTTGCAGAAATCTCCACCTTGCACCCTGCACAGAATAAACAATGTCTCCTTTCTAAACCAGACTCTGTGTCTGTGTTTGGAGAGCTTCTAAAAGTGTCAACACTTCCTCCACAGGTCTGCAGATCCCTGCCAGCCTGCTGAAGTGCAGGCTTCTGAAGGATTAAGTGTTCTCTTGGGCATCCACCTGGTCCGGTGTGGGTCTCCTCCATGGGCTGCAGGAGGATCTTCGCATTCCTGTGGTTCCCCCACGGGACTGTTTTCACAGCCTGATTCATCAGAGTCTTCAACATGGGCTACAGGAGAATCTCAGCTCTGGCAGCTGGAGCACATCCTGTCCCACCTTCTCCACCGACCTCAGTGTCTGCAGAGTTGTTTCTCTCATTTTCTCACTCTGCTCTTCTCTGGACACAGAGATGTGTTACATCTGCACATTAACTTTTCTTCTTAAATATGTTATCACAGAGGGATTACTGCCACAGCTGGAGTCAGCTTTGGCCAGCAGTGGGTCCATCCTGGAGCAAGCTGGCATTGGCTCTGCCGGACATGGGAAATTTCCGGCAGCTTCTCACAGAAGCCAGCCCTGTGGCCACCCCCAGCCCCCGAAACCTGACCATGCAAACCCATACATATTTAAAATACATCAGCAGAGCAATCACTGAGGCCATCACCATTTTTCTTCTGCTTTTGTCAGACTCCAGTACTAAGCTTTTGTGATGAAATTCCTGTATTAGCATCAAAATCTTTTTAAAATAGATTAATTGTTAAAAATCAACAAAGTTGCAAAGGGACACTGCATCTTGGAGCTGGGATCTTCATTCATATGTAATTCAAAGGTATTTGTGCTGCACAGGGCAATTACACCCTCAGGGTACATCAGTGGTTTAATGTGGGAGTGGATGTGTATTTCTGTCTTGTCTGGGTCTGATGAAAACAAAATGTTTGCAGGGTGCACTGAAGGATGATTCACCATTGCCTGAGAAGGCAAAATTAGCATCTTGATTGTCACAGCCAAACACGAAGGTCTTAAAAAAACATGTATTTTTAAAAATCCAAACAACTCATTTTTGTTAGGGCAGATTCCTTTTCAGATTTGTCCTTGTATCTGTAAAAATTTGTGAATTTGTGAATGAAAATTCAGGGCTTCGTCAAGAAAGGAAAAGAAAATATGATTGACTGGATATTAGGTGGAAGGAATTTAGAGTCAATTCTGAATGATGTCAGCCCTAAATGACAATTCAGGGGTATGTCCAGATGTTACCGTGCTTTCCAAAATTTGTGTCTCTTCCTGATATTTTCATTGAGGAGCAGCATAAGCCCCAGACTATCAAGAAAGAAACACTAGTACTAATCACCTCTTCAGTACAACTACTACTACTACTACTACTACTACTATTACTACTACTACTACTAATAATAATAATAATAATTAATACTAAAGTAGTGCTAATCACCTCTTCAGTAAGGCTGTCCATAAGATTTTGACTGAAATAACATGCTTAGGGTAGAACAGAAACCTTCAAATAATACTAATAAAAAATTATCATTATAACATGCACCTTTGACTGATTTCAAGGTTTGAATTTTGTCTGATTTCTGTGTCCACTGCTTGCTCCCTCATCTGAGTCTTAGATTGCTTAAGGTAAACTGTTTTGCTCTGCTCTTGTTTAGTTACTACTGGAGGAATAAGCTACCTACAGTCTATCCAAAAGAAAAACTTTGGTTCATCAGATTTCACCTAAGTTTGCTCACTTCTGCTTATTTGTAAAACATATAAGATTTTCATAGTAAATTAAACAGAAAATACCAGTCCTTAAAGGAACAACCCCTGCCCACCTTTAAAATAAATATTTATCTAAATGCTCTAAGAAAATATTTTTTATTCTACTTTACCTTTATAAGTAAGATTATTTCCTGAGGTGGATTAGGAATTTCATAAGCAAGGCTACTTACCTTACAAATTATGTCAAATACTTGTATGCTCAAACAAACATCTCAAGAAACATTAACCTATTTTAAAGGCTTAAGAAATACTGGAAGGCATCAACATTCAGAGAACTAAGTAGCAGTAGAATTTCAAAACATTTTCCCAACGAGCTATTTTCCCTAAAGCTACTTACTGTGCAAAAACAGATACAATTTTCTTTTGGAATATTTTATAAGTCTCTGAATCAAAAGTACTTCTTCAGCATCACCCACAATCTACTTTACAAAATGCTTTCTGCAAGGCAAGTATTAGCTGATATTTAAATACAACTTTCAAACAGAAAACAAGATATGAACTATTGAAGTAAAACAGCACATTCATGTCCAGAGACTAGAGTTCACTCATTTTGACTGGGAGAAGTGAAAGTTTTTCTGGCTCTTACAGGATGAAAAAGAAAAAAAATTTAAAAATTTTTTATTGAACCTAAAAATCTTAACGAACTATCAAATAAAAAAATAGAGATCTATAAACTATAATTGGTCATCACATGTAGAAAGAAAATTTTAAAGTGCTTTGTCAGTTCAGAAAGAACACCTTACAGATAAGGTGTGTGCAATTACTCTCACTCAATAAATGCAGTTGTTTCCCCCCACCCCAGTCCACACAAGTGTCCACATACACAAAAGAGACCTATTTATACTTTAAGCTTGGGGAGGAAATGTCGTAAGCAATTTTGTTTATGTCCCATCTGAAAAGCCGAGGAGTGGAACAGGATTGCTGCATTATACAGGCCCATCAAGCAATGCAGGCAGCAGATGATCTCTGCTGGGTGAAGCCCCACTGTCTCACAGCAGGAGAAACATCACCCCAAGCACTACTGTTCACACACCTGCCTGTTATCAGAGCCAGCCGGGACCAGGAGACCTGAAACTGCTGCTTTGAGAGCAAACTCCTGCTGCCAAGGGCTTGTATGTTTGAGTTTAAAAGACACCAAGAACAGTTAGAAGTGATTTCAGATGAACCATTCAAACAAGAAGCCGAAAATATAATAGGGGAGAAGTAGAAAAACAAAACACTTGTGTTTTGGGGTAAATAGTAAGGTGGTGCTTTTTAAAGAGTTATGTGAGAACAAAAGAATAAGACAGTCCATGATTTAAAATATATATATATATATATATATAAAAATTTTAAGGTAAACTGGACATATTTCTTTTAAAAACAGTTAAAGAATAAGGACTTTATTAGTTATTATGTTAGCTTTATTATTATATAACCATGTAAACTAAGCATAACATGCTGCCATCATGGTCCTAAGAACTTTATAAGCTATGATATTACCAAGTATCTCCATATGTGGTTTGGAGTTCTAGATATGCATCAGATGTTTAGAGGATGCACTGCTTGTAAGAGTTTTACATAAATATAGAAAAGTGTTTGAGGCTGTCTTATTAAAAGAAAACAACAAAAAGTTCATAAAATCCACGAGAGTACAGAAATACATTCAAATGTTCTTCCTTTAGAGCTCTTTCTCTCTTATGGGGAGAACTACCTGAATGACTGATAAAGACTGAATGAAAACAAAAAATGTTCAGTTTTTTTTCTGACTGAGAATAATGATAATGATGATGATGATGATAATAATAATAATAATAATAATATAATAATAATAATAATAGTAACTCTAACAGAACTTAACAGCTGAACCAAAATTAAATATTCTGTATTTGGAATCATACAGCATACATAAGAGTATACAGCAAATATATTCTGTAATATGTACCAGAAATAGTGTTATATGTTACAAAAGATAGAGGTAGTATAATAAAAACATCCTTTATTTGGTAGGCCATTACTTGAGACAGATACTTCCAGAATGTGGCCAACTGGGATCAGACTCTCAAAAGACAGCATTAAGGCTTATCATTTCCATTGGCAGCATAACAATTCCTTTTATATATTAGAATAGTCAGCAAGCCAGACAGAGTATAGACAAGAGCAATACTCTACACTTCTTGAAAATGTGCATTTGATTCCATGCAGGAGAATGGAAGCTGTTCTGGATAGCAGGTAGGTCATCGTTTATTGGACAAAATGGGACACCCACCATACTGAGGTACATTTATAATCAACATAGTATTTCTTTTTTTTTAAGGGAGAAAATAATTACATAGAATTGTCTTTCTCTACCTTTCACCCTGTTTCATATCCACAGACATCCTTCTTTTCAGAAGTACAGGCTGGAAGGATTAACAGCTGTTTAACATGCAAGACTTGGGCAACACACAGAAGGTAGGTAAGCCCCAGACACACAAACCCAGGAGGAAACCGAGACTGTGACAAAGACCAGGCCTCTGATAGGCCACTGAAGCAAACATTCCATCCCATAGAGATTAAACTGGAACTTTTTAACTGATGAGGGGGAAAGATGATAACATATTTGTCAGGAAAGAACAGTCATTATGGGGTATTTCTGGGTGTTTATATGACTGCGCAAAAATGCTTTAGAGATGTTTAGGGAAACGGGTGTGATGAAGGTACATTATAGATGAACAAGCACAGGAAAACAGAGAGGCAGTGGGACACTGGGGCCAGCTGTGTGAAAACAAGCTGCAGGTGACCACACCTGCCTGGCCAACTCCAGGTTCCAGATAAACTCTCTGTTGTCTGTGTGCCGCCAGAGAACTCCGAGCCAGGGCAACTGATCTGGGATCTAGCCTGGAGATCTGCAGAGACTCCGGGCTCAACAGCCAAGTTTCCAGGGGGGATAAAGGTCTGGAGCAGGTACTGGAGAGACCAGCGCGGGTAGGGCGGGGATGAGCGGAGGGAGCCGCTCTCGGCAGGGCCCAGCGGGTGGGTGTTGAGCTGACAGCCGCTCGGCCTTCCACCGCCCGGGCCTCGGCACGGCCGCTCTGCTGCACAGTGAAGGAGCGCTCGCCAAACCCCAAAGCCTCTGCAGTGAGCTCCCTTGTGACACAGTGCACCACCAGTGGCCTCCCAGTGGAAACACATCAGTACAAACATCAAATACAGAGCTTCACTGAGAAATCCCATTATTGCAGCTGCCGGGGGGGAAAAGGGTCAGCACGGCTTTACACTGTTGCAGCTTCGGCCCCCTGAGAACAAGCTGCAGAAGACAGAAATTAAAAAAAAAAAAAAATAATAAAGCCAAACCCTGGATTTCTTACAAAAACCGCAACTTTTTGTTTCCTTAGGTAAATCCTCCACGAGAGGCTTACGGGGCGGCTGCCCGGTGTTCCTGGGCCGCTGGGCGGGGCGGGCCGTGCTTCCGGCAGGGGGCGGATGTTGGCGTTTGAATCGGCCGTC